GACATTTACGACTAATTACTACTACTACTACTGCAGTAAAGTTATTTTTAAGTGCGCCACCTTTTATTTATTTTTCCCTTTTGCTTATAACTTATTTAAATATTATGTAAAAAAGCAGAAAGTAACAGTAAATTACAGTTAGAAGAAATGGTAAATCTCTCTTATATGGAGAGAATTCAACTCTAGCTGTCAAATAAGCTGAGGCACCGCAACAAGACTTGGGATCCTCTTCAATACATTAAAGAAACAAACTGAACTAAATAACTGATAGCTTCAGTAACATTAGTGGTCTCTTTTGAAGTCCCAAGGAAGGCGGGTAAGGGGCTATTTGTGAATTATTTTGTGATCTTTGTTTGTTTATTTTATTGTTATTTACCTGTTGACTTGTCTGTTTAACTGTTATTTTCTTAATTGAATTTAAAAGGAGGACGCATCTGTTTTATTGAATGCTTTATTATTGCTTCCTCAATACAAAAGATTTGAACTAGATTCACTGGCAAGTAGACATACAAGGAATCTGACTTCAAGAGCAATGTCAGAAAAAGCATGATAATCGTTCATTTTAAAATGTATGCATCGATTAACTTTATAGTGTCCGTTTCCAACCATAGTTTTGAATCTAGATTATCCGTTCAACTTTTCCCATTTTAGCATCATCAGCTGGCTGAAAACAGCTGATTACATTCAAGTCCAAACCTTGTGCTCTTGCCTGTCTGAGAAAGGTTACACTGGTTTTATGATTTAATAGGTAATTTTAGGTCAGCTTCTTCTCCTTTCCCTTTCTTTAAATCCACACACATGTTGAAGGCTGGCTGCTCTCTTGTGTGTTTTAGGTAAGGACGCCTGTGGCCCTCCTCCCACTGGAGTTGACAATAAGACCGAGGAAAGCTCAGACATCCCCATCCTGGAGGACACCTCTTCCTCCCCGACAGACTGTCCTCAACTCTGCTGGCTGGTGGCCAATGACATAGAAAACATAGAAAAGTAGGTCGACAGAAAACGTGTTATGTAACGTTGTGAAAAATTGTAAATGGACACAAATATGGTCGTTTGTTGAACACTCTCTTAAAATGCTTCACACTCGATTCAGCCTCTTCCACTCTTATTTAGAATGTAATAACTGATCCATTCTAGATTTTACTGATCTAAAATATATCTTATTATAAAGATTAAATTGCTTCACAATATGTGCGTTAAAGGAAGAATGTGCAACATTTTACACATAAATACAGAAAAAAACAAGTATATCCTCTTAGTCATGACTGTTTACAATGAGGGAGAAGCCTTGAGTCCCGCCAGTTATACTGTTGTCAGAGTCGTGTTTACATCACGTTTACATCGACGGGACGGCCTTTTGTATAAAGCTTTTTTGGACTGGAGAAAGGAGAATAACATAGCCGACACACTGTTTATTTGGATGTCACGTAAGTGTGTTTAGATCACGCTCATTTTGTGCCAATTTATGTTCAATATGAAGGTATGTGTGCTAACATAAGCATGCTAACACAACAATGCAGGACACAGGCAATTGCAGCTCGAGCAAAGAACAATTTTTTGTCCGCCGCTTGCGATTAATGGTGCTTAATTATGGTGCGTTCTATTTCATAACTCCTCCGTGTGAATGCGAGTGGAGGTTTAGTCGGAGGTGTGCCGCTGGAGGAGAGCGGAGGCTGCAGAATTAGTGGAGGTGTCGCCAAACAGAAGTTTGTTTTGGTTTCATGCTGGTGCTCAAGGGGGCGACAGCTACTGGATCAAACAGTCGCACATTCTGTCTTTGAAGATATGACAAATATTACACCTTTTACTCAATATCTTTGGACTAAGTAAGCTGCATGGCCTTGAAAAAAAACAGATATTTATAAGGACTTTTACCAACCATTGGTAACCATCTTGTCTGTGCTGACCAAAAGTGTTATTTTTGTGTTGTTTTTGAGCATTAAAACAATTGAATTCAAGTATTGGTTTCTCCTGTAGATGTTGTATCAGTAGGGGCGTTAACTAGAACAATCCTTCACACACTCGTGCAGCATCCTGGTGTCCTTTTCTGAGTCTTTATTATAGCTCCTGCTGAATTCAGACAGTAAAGCCTTTCAAAATGAAGATTAAAGATGTGCTCCTATATGACGCTGCAAAAAGGAAGTAAGTGAATAATGGCTTAAGTTGTGAACCTGGTGGTGCGGGACTCTCTGCATGTGTTTGTAAAGTATTCTCATTGATAGATACTGTTGGTAGAAAACATAACAGCTGTTATTTGTGTTGTTGCAGGGATATGAGGGAGATGAAGAACCTTCTCAGTAAACTCAGGGAGACAATGCCTTTACCATTGAAGAACCAAGGTGAGATGACACAGATTTCACCCCACGGATGAACGAAACTTTAGATCTCCTTTCTCACTCATGTAATACTGTAGAGTTCTTGCTATGAAGCGTTTTATCTAGCACTGGCAGAAATGTCTGACTTGGCAGAGGTCTGCTGTGTTCTTGTGCCCAGATGACAGCAGTTTGCTGAACCTGACTCCCTACCCGCTGGTCCGACAGAGGAAGAGGCGGTTCTTTGGGCTCTGTTGCCTGGTAACCAGCTAAGGGCCCTGCCTTCATGGGTAGGAGGCGGCAACAAAGACACCATTACCCACTGTCCTTCACCACTTGTGTCTCCCACCAATCTATTACTGCCATTTTCAAGATGAATCGTCTCTTTCTCCCTTTTTTTTAAAGGCTGCCCATTTTATAATTTTATTTTGTAATACAAATAAGAATTGTAACCGCGATAAAAAATGAAACAAAAGTCACGAGCATATATTTTAAAATATTTTGCAACAAGTGTTCCCTTTCTTGCTAAAGAAATCAGAAATCTGCTCGTCCGATGAAAAAAGAGAATGAGAGGTCGTTTTAAAAAAAAAAAAAGTCAGTGTTTGAATACTTCCACAAACCTGAGTGAATGAAATGAGGATTCATGTTTTATAAAGGGAATATTATTGTCTGTTTTTCGTCAGAAATAATGTGATAACTTACAAATAGAAGCCGTCTGATTGTTCGCACGCGGCACTTGCAAAGACAAAGTTATACATTCGTCTGTCTGCGCTGAGACGACAGGTTTGTTCAGAGTCAGTCTGTTGTGTATTACAGTCTCTGTTTTCTGTTTCTTGCTGTTTTCTCTTCTTAATGTACTTAATTTAGTCTTCCATAAACCAAGAACCTGTACCCAACTTTAACTTTTCCAGCTTCAGAATGGAATATACGATACAATACTCAAAAAGAATACTTCTTTGCACACAATATCTATCTATAAATCCAGACATTAGACTTGTATATACACATACTCTTTACGCAATGCTCTCTGAATTATATTAAAAGTCAGGGTTGGTTTGAAAAGATTCTGTCGGTTTGTATAAGCAGGGTTTGGGGGGGGGGGGGGGGTTCTCCCTCTGTCTGAGCTGTGAGGACACAGGGAGGCAGCATGGGTCTTGCTTATTATCGGTAGTGGTTGATGTTTAGGGCACGAAGAAGGTACAGTAGTCAAAACGACATAGGTCATTTTACATTGTTAATAAAACTTTTGTTATTGAAACTTATTTCTTGGTCTGCAATTCTTTTTTGCATATAATGAACAGAATCGTCCACTGGGTGGTGACAAACTATCAGAAAAGAAATCACAAACTGTTCAGTCTGGTGTTTGTTCATCTTTATAGACTGTTTGAAGAGTTAACATTTTCATCCTTGGGAGATAGATACTAAGAGTAACAGGGGGAAGACATATTCTCTTTTATTGACTTCATGATGCAGCTGTTAGTTATATTAAAACAGGAATAGTAGAGGAGTAAAGAAAGAGAGAGCGATACCTGCTGTCGGGCCTGGACTGTAAATATGAATGGGTAGTGTGTCTTTTCCTCAGCAGATGAGAACTTTAAAGTTTGCTCAGCTTACAGCATCAGTGACTGACAGCCTTTCCTTCATAAATGTAAAACAACTTAAAAGATAACATCTGTATATTGTAATGAGGAAAGGCAGCTTAGCCAAACACTGGCAAGACACATGGCGGCCCTGCCCATCAGCAGATTTGAACTTTACCGTCCTTGGATGCAGTTTTGTAGTACTTAGTATCGGTCTTGGTCTCCAGACCCCTTTTTTTAGGTCTTGATCTTGTCTTGGAAAAGCATTTTTACATCTCAGTCTCAGTCTCAGACTGGGCAGACTCCAGATTCCAGATTTTAAATCAAGACCAACATTGATTGGTTATTTTTCCACGTCATCACTTTGATTCGAAGGAAAACGCCCCTTTCTAAAAGAACTCATCATTTCAATTCATTCATAATTCGATTTTCATCCCCCCGGTTACGGTTTAAGTAAGTGACACCCCTGCTGCACACGAGATGATGATTCGTCATTGATATTTATGGCCTTGGTCTTGATCTCGGTTACTGTGGTCCCGACTACATCACTACTTAGATGGAATAAGGTCTAAAGCTCCTGGGGAATGAAAGCCTGCCTGTACATGCCTGATTATTTAAAGCAAGAGATGAACTTTTGTCTGTATGTCATTAAGTGTGTATCAACCCTTCTTGAGTGTAAACGTGTGTCTCCTGTGCTGTCCTGGCACCTTCCTCTCATCCACCAGCCTTTGGTGTAACTGAGGGACGCACAATAACCTTCATGGTGTGAGGAGACAGTAAGAAGCTGGTGTTTTCACACACTTTTATAGGCCAGTCAGACACACACACATACACATGCACTCACAAGGTGTGAAGCCGGCAAGCCAGCAGCAGGAATAGACTGTCAGCAGGGGTTTGCTTGGCAGGCTGAGCGCCGTCTGGTCTAGAAAGCACGGTGCATCTTTGGAAGCAAACTATATCTGTCAAGAACATTTTCTCGAGAGAAGTTTAGGAAAAAAAATCTTTCATCTCAAATGGATTTAGATACTTAGAAAGCAACATATTTAGACTTTTCTGCCATTTGACAAGACAGCCTGTCATTAAAAGTACTAAAATGAAAAGGAATTCAACATTGCTGAAGAAGTTATTTATTCAGTTTATCTTCATGGTTACATACATGCAACAGCATAGTTTTACAATGAGTTGAAGCGGTTTAAGTAGAAAGTGAATAGAAACAAGAGGAAAGTGATCAAGTGGAATAATTAGAGACAGAAGGTCATGAGGTAACGTCCTCCCTCCATCCTCAGGCATCACATGGCAGGATACTGACAACGGACAGAGTCTCTCCTTTGCATCTCTGCAGCCCCGCTTCACACTCACTCATGGTCTGAGTCGCTGCAGCTTCATCCTCCCCAACACGGACACACACATTTAATCCTGGGCTCAAACAATCTGCAGAGTCCTTACAGCGGCACTCATTGGTTTGATCTGCAAGGAGGGTGTACAGACAAATGAGACCACCGGCTGAAAATTTAAACGCATTGTTATTGATTGTTTCTGACCTTGTGTGTCCCTACCGTCACAGGTCTCCCACATGCGACAGTTGGCGCAGCCTGTTGTGTTTCGTTCAGGCCACTTGCAGGCGCTGTTCTCTGCTATTGTGTGATTCTTCCCCATACACTGCAGTGCACGTATTTTGCACACATTCAGGAGGATAGATTTTCCCGTCACATGAGAAGTGGCACACATCTCCAAAGATGAACTGGTGATACAAACACATTAACCTAATAAGTTGAATTTGCAAAAAAGTCACAGTGACATTTTGTTTATTAGTAGAAGGATCATACCTGCACTCATATGGCATTTTGCAAACACATTTTCCTCTGGTGGACTTCTCCCATGGTTTACATTGCACAAAGGGAGTGACGACTTGTTGTGCCATAACGACTGTGGGATACATAGAAATCATTCTTTCAAATTGCAGACTTAATCAAATCCATGCATGCAATGATAAAAAGTATGACAATCATTTACAGGACATGCCACCCTTTGGCAATGGCACTAGGTGACTATCAGGTTACTAATTGTTCCAGATCCATCCTTTCTGTCCCCCCTCCAAACCCTTCTGTGCTGTCAAATTTTCAGCCAATCTCGCTCTCTGTTCTGGAGGACACCATTGTTCAAATGACATCCTCCTCCCAGCTTCAAATTATTCCCTGTAAGATTTTAAAGATGGGCTGGCAACTATCAGTTCTTGCATAAACATTATTGACTGTTTTTTTGGGCCTCTTGGATTTTTCCTTCTTACTTGAAACATGCAAGGTACCATTCCTCCACCAGCTGGTTTGGTTTTGTTTGCACTTCACAACACTACACTCAACCATACATTGAATTCATGACTGATTTGTCCCTAATTCACATAATTATGATTGTTTTAAATTTAGTTTATAATAAAACTGTATACACCAGCCATACCAAAGATTCACAGAGTTACACTTTAGATGTTTGAAACAAAGACGGACGTGATACTTTGTCATAAAACACTACTTACACATGCACAGAGAAATAAGACACTCATAAAAAGTGACATTATTATAAAGGTTCCTCAGAGGAACTTTTGTTTAAATTTACCTGGAATGCATTTGCTGTTTGCTGGGTCAGGTGAAAAATTGGAACTGGAGTCACATGTAGCCCTTGTCTCTCCTATCAGCTGTTTCCCTGCAGGGCATGAAAAAATGACCTCGTCCCCTATATAATAGTTCTGTTGTAAAGGATCGGCGATGACATCATCAGCGAGGGACTCAAGCGTGCACTTGAGTCTGGAAGGTAAAAAAGTTAGACTCTAACAAAGAATAATTGTTACTTACTGTGATTGTAAAATGATTATTCTGTTATGTACTTACGTGTGCATGTTCCTGGTCTGTGAGACCAGGTTAGATCAGCGGTGCATTCAAGGTCGCTTCCAATAAGATAGAAACCATCAGCGCAGGTGTAACTGACTCGACTACCCACGAGGTAGGTTTCTTTAGGATCCTGGAAAGTATATGTGAAAAAAAAAGAAGGTTAGGATCCAGTTTTTAATTCTGACCTATTTATACAAGGAACTCTCTTTGAAAAACTCAGAAATTAGGAGACTGAAATTTTAACAATAAATATGACCCAATGGCATTGAGCCTTAAAGAGTCAAATCATGCAAGGAGTAACTGTGGCCTTCTGGGAAGTCCAGAAACAATGCTGGAAGAGTTACATTAAGTGTTTTTGTAAAATATAAAATGTTTGCAATAATTTCTCCACAATGTGCTTCACGTTATTCTCCATCTTTACCAGGATGTAGCCATTGACTAGAGCTGGCGGGGTTCTACATCTCTGACTCGCTGGGAGAGTGTGATCAAAGCACTGAGGCTCCATTGTTCTGCAGAAAAATAGTTGAAAATAGGACGTTTTTATTATATAAAAAAGGCATATCGACCTCGATTGGTGTGAAAATGGATCATGTTGAAATGTAAAGAATTGACGTAAGAAGTGTTAATCTGAAACTTGCTCTGACCTTAAGTATTGCAGCTCTTGGTCTTCACAGTCAGATGACTCAGTGGACTCTCCAATACAGTGTTGACCCCCGTTCTGAGGAAGGGGGTTAGAGCATGAGCGACTTCTTGATCTTCGACCACCAGAGCACGATGACCAGGTGGACCAGCACGCCCAACTGCCGTGGATCACGTCTTCATGAGCAGAGAAGCAGAGAACAATATTATTCAATAAAGACTGACTTACTTGGTTATATATTTACCCTATAAGCAAAAAGAAAAAAAAAACATGACATGAATCGTTCTGTATTATATTCTCTTGTAGCCAGCCACGGGATAGCTTAGCTTAGTATGAAGCCTGGAAATCGAGAAGGCAACCTGTGTGGCTGATTTTTATTTTACAACTTATCCATCTTGATTATATGAAGTCAAAGAGTTATGCATCAAACCACCATTATGCAAAACCAAAATGATGGATGTAGTGAAGAACTTTTCTGAAGTGTAACACCCACCCTGCTGACCCTCTGCCTCTGTTCCCTGCTCACAGGCCTGTCCCGATGTCCCAGGCTTACAGATGCATTTGCATTTATCTCCGTCCATAACAGCCAGGCCATTGTTGCTGCAGGGCCGGCAGTGGCAGGGGTCGCTCTCAGCGAGGTACTGCTCTATGGCCCTGCGAAGGTAAAGCTTCTTCACACCGGCACACTGAACCTCCTTCACCAGCTCTGACAGATAACGCAGCTGCAGAAACACAAGTTAAAAAGAGAGAGAATGGAAGGCTGTATTATTTGATAAGATGAGACACTGGCATGCAAATTTAGCTAATCCATTTAGAGTTAACAATCCTATTTTACTGTCCCGCACCTTTTGTTTGGTGACCTTTGGAAACGATCGAACAGAATCAGCCCAGTTTGAGTACATTTCCCAGTTCCTTTTTGGATCATTCAGATTCAGTCTCTTCAGTGCTGCGATATGTTCAATGCCTCCACCCTCCACATCCACTTTATTCACTTCATTGGTTCTAGCATCTTGAGAAAATAATAAAGATTTCATAGTTAATGAAAGGTAGAAGTTCAAACATTTTAAGTGTTTCTGATAGGCTCTGAAATGTTTGTCAACATCCAAAAAGTACCAAAAGTTGAAAACGAGCTTTGACTATGACCACTCTTGCATTTCACCGATGTGATGGGGAATATTAAAATCCAACGTTTGGTCCTTTCACATTCATTATACTCTTGGCTTTTTCTGACTGAAAAACAATGGAAAGTTGAGAGGAAAAGACACAAAAATATTAAGAAGTTAATGACAGTTAGCAACACAAACACCCCACGCTGAAAATCTCTGACATTTTCAGGAGTTTAGTGCATGTGTGAAAGAGCAATTGTTTTAGGAGAGTAATGAAGTGACCTGACTGATTATTTTCAAATCCTCACCGATCTGTCTTTCAGTTTCTTCATTAAGGCTGGCGATGACATTGAAGGAGCCTCCCAGGCTTCCCTCAGACAGGTAGTGTGTTCCATACCTCTCCAGAACTTTCCTGTAGGCAGCGTAGTCGTAGACTGACGGGAGTTTGGTCAGCTCCTTCCAAAACTCCTCAGATATGATGAGGTACTGAGGAGAGTTACTTTGGAACTGAGCTATCTCGATGTCGTTCTTTAAAACCAAAAGCTTGCGGGTCTGGAAGGAGACAAGAAGAAGTACATTTTTATGGTTTGATTTTACTTTTTCAAATATGAATGGATTGTCATTGTTTGATTTGCTTTTCAAGATCGCAGACAATATCGCAGGTTTCACCTGAGTCCTGTCGTCTGTTTGATGAAAGTCATAGTTGTGATATCCTTTAGTGGTCCCCGACACGGTTTCTCTGTTCACAATGTCCTTTGCATAGTGCCATTTACTGGAGTACATCTCATCACTGAAGTCATTCTGAACATTAACCTGAAACAGCGCATATTGAAAAATTAATACATTCCATGCTGATGATTGACAAAAGTGAGAAATAAATACCTTATATATACCTCCAAATTACAAACGGTGCAGAACTGAGGGAAACGTAAATGCTTTTTGATACAAGGAGTAAATGTAAAGGTGGATCATATGTTGTAGATACCAGTCTTTGGTCCCATGGAGCATGTGTGAAAACCACCTTCTGTACGGTATATAAAACTTAATGTCAATATGTCCATTATGGAATTCAAAAAGGTGTCCAAGGAAGAAAACATCTCATTTCACACATTTCATATTGAAGGCATTGTTGTGTAATGGTAAATATAAACAGAACTGGCGTTAATACCATTTTCTTTTTAAAACGTATACGTCACCACCATGCTTCCATGTCACTTTTTTCGAACACACCTTGTTTGAACACAAATCTTTTGCAGTTGCTATCTTAGATTTTTTAACAATCAGACAAGACCACATTTAGACTACAGGGTGGATAAGTATTGTTAAATTCTTATAAATAAGGATTATTGTTGTCTCATCTGATTTCTTACAGTTGTCAGGTTTTTGCAAACTGTTGGAGTTGCCCCCTGCTGGTTATTAGAGAGAATGCAGCTTAACTTATGAAACAAGGGGCTTTATCCACTTCTTTTATACAGTCTATGGTTTATGAATATAATAAAACATCATCAGCAGTGTATGTTTGCAGTATTAACTGAATAGAATAATCATTTTCTTGTACATCAGGTGTTACCACACCTACCACAAAGGAGTATTTGATAGTACTGAGAGGCAGTCTGTAGAAAGAGTTATGGACCCCACTGTAGGTGTTACGACAAAGACCCCCAAAGCTGTTGGTGTTGATTACACTGGCCTTCCATTTTGCTGTCACCACATCATACCTACAGAACAATAAAGTGCCCATTTGTAAGAAAAAGCGCTTCGTCTTTGTGTTCTTATACTGGTTTCATGAACATATTTTTATACTTTTCAAGATATTTCACTTACCCAAGTCCTAGGAGGTCAGTGTTGGGTGGTAGAGCTGATTTCCAACATGTAATGTACAGTTGACCTCCACAGGCACGTTCGTCAAGGCCATCTCCCTCACAGTCTACATCTCCGTTACACAACAAAGACTGACTCACACACTTCCCTAAAAGTCAAAGAGACAGACAGACGGTTCAGTGACTGTAATTTAATTTGTGGAGATCAGGTGAGTTAGATATCTGAGTTTCATTAATCACCTGATCCACAGCGAAACCTGTCTCCACATCCATCCTCAAGGGGGCAGCCTTTTGTGGTTTCACATGACCTGGTCTGAGACCGGTCTCCATCGCAGGGATTCCCACCAAACTGAGCAAAATCAGCCATGGCTCGGCTTCTGGTCTGTAACCAACCTCAATGTGACAAATGCATTTTAAAAGAAGAGCACAGACAAGCTGATAAAACTTTAAAAACGTCTATCAACCAGACAGAGTCCTGAGCAGATGCAAACAGAGACACATTTATTAAAATATCTATTAAAACATTTCCTTTTTTTACACTTAATGATGTGTCCATCAGCATTACCTTAGCAGAGACAATAACCAATTAATTCTAATGACCTGTAATTTGGTGCAACCATCACACTCTGACCAATCACCAAAAGGCCCCCACTGGCAATCGACCCTCTGTACACAAATCCTTTGACATGAAAAGGAAATCAAATAGTTCAATAAATTCCACCAAATAATCACTGCATTTGTTTCCTTTCATATGGTGTTCTGCTTTTAAGGATGAAACAGTGAAGAAACACAGATTTACCCTCTGTGAGTGATCACGAGCAGCAGCCATGGTACTACTGCCAAAGAGAGTCGTGTAATATGCTGGAGAAGTTGAGAGAACAGTACAAGAGAGGAGAATAAAAAAGAAGAGTGATCAAATACAAGAGGAATAAAGGAAACAGAGAGGAGAATATATAGGGGAGAAGAGGTTTCACAAGTAACTTTAGGACACAAAGTAAATGTAAAAATACTCAGCTCACAGTTGCTATATTTCTCTTTCTGTATAAACTTGATGTATTGAGAGTAAAATCTACTTACCTTCATGGTGATTGCAGAGCAGCACACTGCGTAGTCCTGAAGGGTCTCAGAGGCTTATACTACAAGTTGTTCTTTTTCTGTAATCCCAGTCTTCAGGGGTCATTCCATGGAAGTGTTGTCAATGCTTTGGACCAAGGACAGGAAAATATTTTTAATAGCGCCAGGGCTCATTCTGAAACCGAAAGCAAACATTTACCACTTCCCAAGAGGACAATCTGTGTCTGTTTTAACACTCTGAACATTCCCATTTACTACAGCCAAAAGACACAGCACACATTTAATGATATCCCCTTATGGTGTGCTAGAAATCAAAAAAGCTATACTGCATGACACCAGGATTTTAAAAAAGGGAGGCTTTTATCATGGGAAGATATATTACATGTCAAATATGGTAAAGCACATTTGTTAATGATCAGATTGTTGATAGCTAAATTTCATTAAGCAGAGTCGGCCTGACATGTTGCACAATGGTCATTTGTAACTGCCAAGCATTAATATGCCAAACCTCACATACCTCAGATAAATAATGACATTTGCCAAAAAAAGAAGCTTCATCTTGTCAAATGCTTCTCTTGTGCAATACATGAGTTCGGTATAGAAAGTTTTGTATAATTTCTCTAAATAACAAAACTCTGCCAATTTGTTTTTTCTTCTTCAAGGAGAGATTTGTTGATTTCACATATTTAGTTAAACTGCAGAGAAAGAGACTGAAAGCTGACATGTTGTAAATCTGAGTATAGTGATGTGATTTAGTCCGTCCAACACTGGAGGGCAACAGAGATTTGAGAACTGTTTCCTCTTTAAGGCTGAAAATGGGATTCAAGGCTGAGAAACGTTGTGAGCAAACCTGCAACAAGGTTTCCTAGTAAGCTGTATTCAAACGTAATGATAATTTAAATTTTGTTTTATTACGATTTTACACATGGTGAGAGATGGACATGTGGGACGATGAAGAACAGTGTTACTGCAGGGAGACATTTCTTCTGAAGATTCTTTGTGTGTCTCATATGTGCAGATTCAACATCTCCATCTAATTGTGGACAATGATTTTCTATTCAATCTGCTGTCATACCCAACATGTGGCCATAATGTGCAAATCCTTCACAAACGGGCAGTTCATTATGAAGAAAAGGCAGCCTAAACTGAAAGTCTTAGGCACTCTGAAGCAGTATCAAAAAACATTTATTAAACAGTGATGTATCTACACGTTTCGACAGTGGCGATTCTAGAGTCTGGTGGGGCCCTAGGTGAAAATCAGTTGGGGGCCCCCTCCAACCAGCGTTCATCACCATCATGTCTGCCAAGGTCCCGTCGATTACTCTCTATGTTTCTTTTTTCTCTCCTGAAGCTGAATTATTCCTCTTTATCTTTCTTTGTTGACTTTCATTGACAAACTTTGGTTATCACAGCGACAATGCATGCAACGCCTATCAAGGCAACAAGAGTGAGTGTTGTCAGATGGGGCCCTAGGGAGGTTACCTATAGGTTGCCTATAGGTAGCCCACAAGCAGCGCCTCTGCATTTTGACTTATTCTTCATCAGGATATGACAGTCATTGATTTATTAGCTCTTTGACCTCTGTCCCCTGTCCTCTACATTTTCATTTTTGCACAGTGCAGTACTCGCTTCAACCTTTTTCTTTATATTTTTATGTTTGAGTTGTGAATGTGAAATATGAAATGTGATTTATCGGTGTAAAAACAATACACAGAAGACAATTTATTCCTGTCTCCAAGTTACAGATGTCAATTCATTTGGGGCTCAATTTCAAAAGACTTAAAAAGACTTTCAAAAAGATAAAAGGTTTCTGTTTGTGCAGCAGTAACGAGGTTCAGAGGAATTTAGAAAACACAATCTTAAAACAAAAACTGTGTGCCTACAATCTCAGCTCCAATTCTCTGAAATAAGTGAAGGTCCCCAAGGGTAGCATTTTATTCAAGGGAATTTTTCAGGCAAAGCCATTTGAGAGCAAAGCAGAATTCGTCTCGACTTTCATCTATGAAAAGCCAATCAGAATAAGAGCTTACTCACAGCAGTGTGCTTTTTGGCGTTGATGATTTATTTAATTTTGGGCAATATGTTTCACATACAAGAAGGTGTCTCGGTAGCTTTTTAATTATCACAAAACTAAAAGAAATGCTTTTATTTGGAGCAAAGAGTCACTTCAAATTCTAGAAAATCAAAAGACAAGTCATGCATACTTAAAAGCATGATAGACTGAGATCACGATTTCAAATGAGCAGCCAATGTTAAATGACTCAGCTACTGTACATCAGTAAGCAGCAGAGTCCCGGCACTGCAGGCTAGAATAACAGTTGGCTCAACAATAAGCCACCAGACCGTGCCCTCCATTAGTGCTGCTTCTGTTGGTCTCAGGATGTTCAGAGGTCATCTTTGATCACCATCTGCCCCAGATTTTGGTCCGTCGGAGACACAAGTTCGTCAGGCTCCGACAGAGAAAGACAAAGTCAATGAATCTGCAGACTATGTGTTTACTTTCCCCCAGATTGAAGTGTAAACCATACTCATAGAGTTTGTTTTTAAGTGATAAGTGTGACACTCAAGAGTTTAGTGGTTCAAACCAGTAGACAGTTTCTGGTGCCGCGTGGGTGGCAGCTTGTTACGGCGGCTCTGACCCCCGTTTGGTTTTTAGTAAATCCTGACCCTTTTTGGTTTTAACTTAGCAATTAGCTTGAACTTAAAACGACAAATGAATCCAAATTCTGAATCAAATCGTGACCCCCAGAATTGAAATAGATCAAATCGAGAGACACCCAAAGATTCCCAGCCCCAATAAATAACTTCAATTGTAGCCCTTACATTAGCATGCTACATTTGCATAACATTGTCTGAAGAAATCTTACTCGGAACAAACACACTGTCAGTAGCTAAGACTCAGTAAAACAAAGCAATCAAACACTAAAAGATCTTAACATCGCTTAAAAATTAACGTACAGCGGTTCATCCACCCTTACAATGTTTATTCCATGACTGTCACATGAAGAGTAATGAGTTAAGAGAAGCAGGGCCAGAGTGGCGGATTTAACCGTTAGCCATAGACAATTGCCTCGGGCATCCAAACTACAGAGGCCCCCCCAAAAAAAAAACAATGTTTAAGAATGATTTTTATTTTTTTAACTTTGTGGCAAGTTATTATGTTTTTCTTAAAACCCATATGCAAACATTTCTTATCAGAAGAATGGCTGATTTCTCTATAAATAATGTCTCAGGTGCCCACCCCTCCCCCCTCCGGCTGCACTCCTATACGGGCTATTCCATGACACTCAGGTCTCACTGCACAGCGTGTTTAATGCTATGATCGAGGCGGCATCACTGGTGGCAGAGAGAGCTAAAAGAGACAAGCGTAAAAGAGATAGAAGATAGAGACAAGCCAGTAGCAAATAAATCTAATGAGGTTTGAGCTACCTTACATTTCAGAAAGAGCTCCCCTGAAGGCCTGAATGAGGAACTGTCTCTATCAGATAAAGAGCTCCCCCATGGTTAAAAATGAGCTACCATACCTGCCAAAATTAGTTGTAGGGGCTTAATGTATCGAGCTACCCTTCCTGACAGGTTGAGCTAGCTTAGCTGTCAAAATGAACCACCCTGCCAGTCAAAATGATCTACCGTACCTGAACGTATCAATAACCCTGCCTGACAGATTGAACAACTGTGACAGTTTCAGCTACACTACCTGTCAGAATGGGTTACCCTGCTTTTTTTTTTAGAATAAGCCATACCTATCAAAATGAGCTACCCTACCAGACCAAATGTGCTACCTCCCACGACCGTCTGAACTACCTCCCCCCCCCCAACCCATCATAACCCTTACACCCCTCCCCTCTCTCTTCTTTAATCTTTACTGCTTTTTAAAGAGTAATTGTGAATCCTGGCCTCACTTGTTTGATTTATAATAGAGTATGATTTAATGTTGCTTGTCTCTCTCTCTCTGAAGATTAAAATTGAGCTTGTTGTACCATAGATTTCATTGGCAGCAAAATTGCCACCCTGTGTCATGCACCATCATGAGTTTCTGGTGAAATGACTCTTCCTCCTCCTCCTCCTCCTCCTCCTCCTCCTCCTCCTCACACTCCATTTTTTTTTTTTTCTGAAACGGTGCATTTAGTTGCTGCCCCTCTTTAAGCTGTCTGAATTCCATCATCCATCCCTTCCTCCTACACCTCTTCCTCCTCCTCCTCCTCCTCCTCCTCCTTCACTGTGTGTCCGCCTGCGTGATCGTGACAGAGAGAGATAGACGGACTAACACATACACTCACACATGAATAACAACACAATAATAACACTGTGCATTTGCATTTTCTCACTTCTCCAGTAAATGACTGTTTCAAGTGAATCCAAGGACATAAATTATTGCTTTCTCTTTTGCTTCCCCCCCTTAGCTGTATTACTGTGATGTTCAAACAAAGCAGTCAAAGCACCCGAAACGTCTATATCCGGTCAGATGGCCTGTGGTTACCAACACAACACAGCTGTTCCTTTTAGCAGCCGCAAGGGAAGTATCTATTCATGTTTATAACATGATATTTTCTGTGACAGTGAATATGTGCAGTCATATAGACCATCTTTGTGAGAGCTTTTTTTTTCAAGCATTTCTTTTTTTTTTTAACCGAACAACTACTGTATATGCACACGTGGCATAAATCACGAGACAGAAGATCAAATTAAATCAATGAATGACACATTTTTACAACATTAAGATTGACACAAAACACACACACACACACACAGAGCTACTCAGGACCTCAGTCATCTCTGTGCCATCCTCATGAGCAACACCTGGCTGCAGGATAGCAGATGCTGAGTTACAAAACAGGGACTTTTAGAAAGTGACCTTGAATGCGGCTGTCCACTCGCCTCCATCCTCATTACCCTGGAAACTGGATCATGATCCTCCTCTCAAAAGATACGGAAAAAAAGCCTGAAGTTAACTTTAGTGCTGCAATTTAGAGTGTTACCCTTTGAGTCTCTCAACCTGAAAGTTCGGGGTTTGATCCCCAGCTCCTGCAGCAACATGTCCGATGTGTCCTTGGGCAAGACACTTAACCCTGAGTTGCTCCCGCTGCTTCACCGGCGGCGTATACATGTGTATGAATGGG